TGTAAACATTAGTCTGAAGAGGTTAAGAATTCTTTTTTTGAAATCTTCGAATATTTGATTGATTGTTGTTGCGTTTGAAGTTAAAATTAGAAAACTCAATGAGGTAAAGAAAAATACCAGGAAATGTAATACTTTTTGCCTGGCTTGTTTGCTAAATGCTTTCAAAGGGGGTGCCGTTATCCTTTTTAAGGTAAGATTAAGGAAATAAGTACATGCTTTTAAAATAACTCTAACTGAATACAATATGTTCGTGACCATTAGTGTATTTGATTATACCCAATTAACATTTCCCAAATTGCATATCTTTTTTGTCTTTAATTTTTCAACCTTTGCTATTTAGAAATTCTGGTTTATTTCTTTGCTTTATTTATTAATATTATTATATTTTTTTTGAATGGAACACATTTTAAAGACTAACATTTTTTGCTTTATTAGGTTTTTTAGAGCCTTTTTAATATTTTATAATTTCAGATGAAAAAGTAATATTTTTTAGAATTCAATATCTATTTTAAAAAGGCTTGTATAACATTTTTTTATTCAACGAATTAATTTGATAACTCAAAATAAAATTGTAGACCTACAGGGAAAAAAACAATAGCGAGTAAAAGCGTTTAGACATAAACAGAATGCATTTCTGTAAAATATTTATTGTTATATATTTTAAATTGTAAAGTGCTAAACTATTCTTAAATACAATGAAAGTTCTCGTTTGCTATAATTATTTACGGTAGGGAAATTAAATTTTTTTGAGATACTGGTTATTACTTTTTATTTAAGCTTTCAATTATAAACTTTTTCAAGGTTTATTTATAACTCAATTATAAGCATTGTTTCAAACTTTTTACGTACTGCAACTCATTATATACAAAAGATTTTTTATTTATATTTAACTTAAGGAATTCATTATTCTAACTCTTTTTCTTTTATTTATTTGAACCTCGAATAAATTTAAATCACCCCTGCAATATTTAGTTTAATTGCAATTCAAACAAATATATATGACTATTAAGATAAATCTTAAAATGTATTTAATATCAAAAGCATCGATAGTTCGAACCTTGATTTGATAAATGCTATTTAGGTGATAAAATGTATGCATTTATAGATCGGATACTAGTTGTAGGTCAACAAAACAACCATTAAAATCGTCTAACCTCGAAATGTTTTTTCCTTTTAATTTTTAATATTAGTATTTTTTTTAATAATTTGCCTTAAATAAATATTAGTGTTTGGCGCTTACCCGTTAAAAAAGTAGAAAATATCCTGTCAAAATGTGAGAAAAAAATATTTTAATGAATGCGTTTTGTATTGTATTTAGCTGTAACCAAATACAAGAAAATAATTTTAAACTGAATTTAGAATTATTTTCAAATGTAGAAATCCAAAGTATCAAATTTCTTTATTGTAAAATAAATATGTATTAAAAAAAAGCAAGTAGATGAGGAAAAATGTAATTTGACTTAAATAATAAGAAATTAATACAATAGGGAAAATCGATGTTCTTTATTATATTCGAACCAGTATATTTGTCTTTATTATTATATTTCATTATTGATTCCTATTTGTGGAATTTCTACTGCTTTGAATTTATTAGTTTCTTTTTTATTTTATGAAAATATCTAAATATTGGTTAGCTATTTATTTTCTTATAACTTTAACTTTTACTTAAAATTAACTATCACTTTAACTTTTACTTTAAATATTGAAGAAATATTTTATAAGAGTTATTAATTGCTAAGATCTTTTGCAACGAAAGTTTCCCCCAGCCTTTGGTGGGTCAGATGACCCTAATTTATGATATTCCGTAAAATTTGAATTTAAATTTTTCCGGAAGGGGAATTATTATTTTTTTTTTAAAGCTTCAAAAATTTGATTTCGGAACAATAACCTTTTTGAGGTCGACTTTTAACAATCCATGTCCTTTCAAGACTTGTGGGTAGTGTTTGGTCATTTTAAATCTTGTTCGTCTTTATCTTATTCTTAATTCACCTGTCTTCCTACGATGTTCTTTGACCCCGGAAGTTTCGGTACTTATATCAATCAATTGTAAGTATCTGTTTCGAGTCTCGTTTTCATTAAATATTTTCACTAAATTTGGATATAAATATGGTATTTCCAATAAGAATTATGGCATAAATTTTCAATGCATAATACGCGAAGTTAAAAAAAAAAATGATTATATCAAAGAAATAAATTTAAAAAAAAATGTAATCCATCAATTCAAAAGTCTTCTGAATTTTAAATAGAAAGTAGGAAGGCTGATCTCTTGATGAAGTTAAATTTAAAGAAAGTAAATGAAGATAAATTCAAGTAAATTAGGCTCATCGCAAATCGTATGGAATTTGAAAATTTTTGTACATTTTGTAAACAATTTAATTTGACATAATACATATCATCCTGATCTAAAGTCTACATAAACAAAATGTCCGAAAGTCCACAATTATTGAGGAGCAGTAAGTTGTAGTTTACTATAACTCTACATGCTGTTTTTTTTTTTACTTAATTTACAAGTATGTAATTGTTAAAGATACCATTTAGTTTAACAATTTTTTTAAAAAAAACTTGCATTTCTTCTGTTACGTGGTGGAAAGACCTAGTGTTCAACTTACATAACTTATACCTAACCTTTCAGAGGGTAAGTGGTTTTAAAACACGCCTATGATCAACCCTTCTTCTATATAATTTTCTTTCTTTTATGTTTTCTTAAAGACTTGGTTTAAATCACCGTGTGATATTATTTACCTTGAGTTCTCGTTTGAGATTAGCGCCTCCAGTTTTCGAGATGTTAACTTGATCCAGTTTCAGAGTCTAATAATCACGCTTTAGTTTACGTTATGCATCTAGAAATTCAGTTAAAAATGTTCTTTGAACTTAATATTAATGCAGTGAATTTCGATTTTTACCTTATTATAATATATCTTTGCGTCACTAAAATAACTTTCTCGTGAGTAAGTATGATTTCTTCTCTCTTTCGAAAGTATGGCCTAACTTCAGATATTCAAATCAGGTTTTTCTCTACGTTCGTATCTAATTATTTACCGACTTCCTGAAGCAAATGCAAGATGCGGCCAAGGTGAAGTCAAACATTTTCGAAGTATGCGTCATTTGGGTGAATCAAAATTGATATTATGAATTTGTATGCATATTGAGAAGTTTTTAAAAAAGTCATTCATTTCTTAATATTTATTTCTGAAACCTCACTTTTGAGTAGCGTTCTAATGTTTTAGGATTAAACATTTTCTGAGGAAAAATTAATTCGTAGCAGTTTATATTTTGAAAAAGAATTTTAATTAAAGCTTTTTTTTTTTTAAAAAAAAAAACTTTTAAGCAAATTTAGTTATTTTAAAATATTTATGAAATGGTAATTTCAAAAGTTTGTTTCATGAAAATTTTATTTTTTCCTTTAATCCCTTAACAGTGACATATTTTAGAAAAATGGACAAAAAATGGAAAATTTTTTGACTGTTTAATTTTGTTCTTTATATTATTATAAAAGTTAGAAAATGGTTTTTTATTACAGAACTAAAATTTTAAATGCAATAACTACTGTATTTATAATTTTTACATACACATAAAAAAGTAATGGATTACACACACATCTTTATCAATTAGAGCAAATTAAAAAAATTTTTGTAGCTAAATAAAATATTACTAGTAAAATATAATATAAAAACACAACAATATGATTTTCACTACATGCATTTTACAAATCTTTTGCAGTATGGTAAATCCCAAACCCCCGCCCACATTTCCCTCCCGTCCCGCAGTGGACTGATCGTTAAGACGCGGTTCCCAGCAGATCACCGAAGTCAAGCATCACTGGCTGCGGTCAGTGTGCGGGTGGGTGACCACTTGGATCAGCCTGCGTAGGGACCGAGGGTGTGCGGTATTGGTCCTCGTTAAACTGTTCTACCGTAAAGTGCTCGACTTCACGTGCAGGTCGTCGGGCTACCGAAGCTGGGGTGCCATTCCCTCTGCAGAGGATCAAAATTGTGATGGCATGTCTTCGGATCATCTTCAGGGATGTTTCCCAGACCGTCGCCAATTCCCCATTGTGCAGCTCTAGTGCGACGTAAATGAACAAACAAACAAGCAAGCATTTCCCTCCCTCGACTGAAGTCGTAATCGGTGAAAAACTAAGACCACTAATGCCATCTATTTGGAAAATAGTAAATTAAGTATACTAAAAGGCAGAAACGAACCCAGCTCGGGCTTCACAAAATAGAAAGGTTAATTTTGCTCCTGCCCGAAGTCAGTTCGGGCATCACAAATAATGCACGTAGTAGTTGCTCGAAATGGATTCCGGCGACCCTGGCAAGGGGTTAAACAAAATTCATTTATTAAAAAGTAAATAAAATTTGATGCGGCACAGATGTAGACAAACATTGCAGTCATTTAGGAGAATCAAAAATGCTCTGGTGAATTAGTTTGCATACTAGAAAGTCTTTACAAAAAAGTTACTCGTACCTTTTACATTTATTTCTAAATTATAACCTTATTTGAAGTTTAATGAATCAAAATTGTTAGCGAAGCAATCATTCGGACTGGTTTAAATATTGTTAATGGTTTTTTGTAAAGATTTTTTTACAAGAGCTTGAATACAAATTTTTAGAGATTTAAAATGTTGGTTAAATGATAATTTCAAATACTAAAATTGCATCATACACATATTCATAAATTAAAACATATGAAGAGTTGAAAAAAAAACTAATTTTTATATCACTATTAAGTTCAAAGCGATTGCATCAAATATGTGCAACGAAATATTTAATGAAATATTGTATTTTTATGTTATTTTATAAGGACGCCGGTAATTGAGTGGTTGCGCTTAAGTGCCACAGGTCCTAGGTTCAATCCTTACACGGGGCTAGGTTGACTCAGTCTTTCATCCCTTCAGCGGGTCGATAAAATGAGTACCAAGCATGAAGGGGCATGAAACCCTGGGTGTCCCGAATTCGGCTGACCACCCAATCGAAACATCTGAGTCCTAGTGCCCAATGTCAAGAAAACTGGGGTGGACACATAGGTCTTGGTCCTTCACGGGCTGTAGCGCCAGCGAGCTTTTGAAAAGAAAATATCTCCTAAAAAGACAAACTTCTGAGTTTATACTCAAAATATTTAAATTAATCTATGCAGGAAATTGGTTGCCTATTAAGTCTTTAAAAAGTAATGTTTTTTGCATTTATTTTTTAAAACCTCACTGTTTCGAAACGTTCGAACGTTTTATGATGACAATTTTTAGAGAAGAGGTAATTCAGACTGACTTCAGACACAGAAATTCAGATATTAAGAATTTTGAAAAATGTATCTGAAATTACAATTATTAAACATTTTTATCCAAGTATTTTTATACAAATATTTAGTTAAACCTTTTATTATTAAGGTCTGCAAAACGAAACTACCTCCTATAAAATATCGAGCAATTGAAGTTGGTAAACAAAACAGTAGCTCTGCTTTAACCTAGGGTGACTAATCTTTCATAAAGAGATAAGTTCATTGAATTATCATGTGATATCCGGAACCTTGTGACAAATTTCATCGTACCACCGTTTCCTCAATAACTTGATATGAAGTAGATGTGTTTAAAATTAGTAAAGTGTTCTTTAAATATATTAGTATCTGGTTATTTTTTCAATGTTTTTTCAAAATTTATTTTATTGGTATCTTATTTGTTTCCTTAAATAGTTTGTTGTTAAAATTTAATATGATTAGATTTCAATATCAGAATTTTTGAAAAGCAAGTAAGTAAAATTTTATTTGAATACTAGATTGCTTTGAAATTACCGAAATTAAAAGATAAGAGCTTAGAATGAGTTCTGATTTAAAATGTTTTAGTTCTTTCGACCGTAAAATTTATAAAAGCTATGATTCAATTTTGTGTATCATACTGCAACTTGATCTAATTGCCTTGAATTTAAAGCATTTGAAAGAATTTGAGGGAATGTTCAATCAGTGCATTTGATTTTTTAAAAAATTGAAAATTTATAAATACTAAAATCTCTTTTAATAGACAAGCGTAGATAAAAGGGCCGGGTTTGCTATGGTAGGAAAAGTTACAGCAGTAAAATGTTTTTACAAAAAGTTTTTTTTTTGTTGTAACTTTTATACTTTTATTTTTTATAAGTATTCTAAACACTTTTATTTCTCCCAGACTAGATAAACTTAGAAGTTTCAATTTCATCAAAACTTGGTCGTATAGATTTTTTTTCACTGTACCCTATTAAAAATGAACAGAGAGCTAAATAAAAAAAACGTACTCCTTTAATCAAATGGTCGGATTATCCCGCACTAAGAACACAATATTAAAGGACCAAACCTTAAAAATGCGCATTAATTTGAGATAATAAGGATAGTTTAAGTTATGAATTCAGGCGCAAAAAACTACTCTCTCTGAATCAACATATCTTCTTTTTTCCCCCAACATATTAAAATTCTTGAAATTCAAAATATGGTAGTCGCAATCTGGAAAGTATGGTCTCAATAGTTTAGGCAAGAAAACTGGTTAAAGCTGAGTCCCCTTCATGATAGTTTTACTTTTTGCATATTTTACCATATCTCTTGAAATTAAATTAAAAAACTTTTGCAAGGAATTATAAAATTTGTAACTCGAAAAAAAATATTTATTTTAAAATTTTTATAATTTAATTTAATTTACTAATGGACAAAAAAAATTTAATAGCAAGAGATACAAATTTTTAAATGGTTAATCTGCGTAATTTTATTTGATAAAATGTACATTTTGAAAGGAATCGGTCGACTTGCTCTTAAATAAAATTTAAAAATTGGCGAAATACGCAAAGAAAATGAACCATTATTATAGTTTTTAAAGAACTGTTAGGGTAGTAATATGTAGCTATCGAAAGCGTTGTACGAGCTATTCTTTTCTATGATTGACAGAAATTTTTCCTTTTTTTTCCTTTTAAACCCTTAATAAAATTAAACTTTGCTTTTAATGTGCTCCAATTATTTATTGACAATCCTTTTATTATTGACATTTGGTTAAATATTCTTATAGTTCCCTTTTTCAAAAAAATTCTTCCGAATTTCATTCCATTGCTTTCATTACTCAGTATAGAAAAAAGTTTCATTTAAATTCCTTTATACATAGCTTTGAACAACAGAATCATTTTTAAATAGTAATCGATAAAATAATTCAGGGTACTTTAATAAGAAGTTTTTATACATTTCTAATATAGACCGAGAACAATGTATCGCCATTTGTAGTTAGAACCAGTTTGGGTTCAAGGAATTTTGTGATCTGATTACTTTCTGAAATTGTCTACAATAGTTTGCAAAGAGCAGTAATGGCTCAGGTGATAGAGCGTTCGCCTTCCAATAAGGTGAACTGGGTTCGAATCGCAGCGCTGGCTGATTTATACGAATTCCGCACCAGTCTCGCACCTACCAAAGTCATTGCTGACGCAAATTATCCTCAGTAGAAGGCGAATCATGGAGTAGAGTCCTCTTGCCGTCAGGGAGGGTTTCGTAGTTTTCTTCTCCTTGTTACGCAAATGCGGGTAAGTGGCATCAAACAATCCTCCATGAAGACAAATTTCTCCCAATACTTGATCCCGCAGTTCCTTGTCTTCTGGATTGGGTTCAAAATTACAAAGCTATGGAGTTGAACATTAGTAGTCGTAAGCCCAAAATCGGGTCGGCTGTTCAACAACGGTTATAAAATGAAATAAAATAGTTTGCAAAGGGCTGCATTTATCAATATCATTAATATAAAAGAGTGAAATGAATTTATTTTTCTCTCTGTTGTTTAAAAAGCATCTCAATTTTATTTAAAATAAATTTTTAGTCATCTAACCTTTAAAAAATTATCTTTCGGAAAAAGTTTTTAGTTTCGTAAATATATAGTGTGTCCTAAGTCGTAGTGCACTTTTGATGTGTGGCCGGTTTAAAAGTGCAACATGATTTTATGGGCATATTGTATACATAATCACGTGGATCACTCTTTTAGGGTATCCGGTTTCTATTTATTATTATAGGTTACTATTATGGTTTTACTATTATAGCATAACTATTATAGTATTACTATTATGGTTTAGGCAAGTTTTGATACTTAATTTGAGCTATAGTTAGTAGTGTTACGTTATTAGCTATTGTGATAAAGATAATAGATTCATAAGGTATTTCATAATTTTACTAATTAATAAACTACAGATATTAATCAGATTAATTTGTTCAGTTGATTTTTTCAATCCAAATCGGATATCCAGTAACAAATGGGCAATTAAACTTAAATTTTTGTACTATATATA